CCCTAAACCCTAAGCTCCCCTAAACCCTAAACCCTAAACGCTAAACCCTAACCCTAACCTTAGGGGCTTACATGAACAATTACCAACAACATTTTTGGGTTCCTCATTATAATTATAGTATAATGGGCCCCAAAACCCTATTCGAATTATCAAGGCCCCTATATCATGAATTCCTTTATTGAAGGGCTCCAGGGGGCCGTAAAGGTTCTCATATAGAAGCCTAAATGCCTCAATTTTTACCCATATTGCTGACAGGGTTCCTTATTATAGTAACACCATAAAGGGGCCCAAAACCCTATTCTAATTATTAAGGTCCCCTACATTAAACCCTGAAGCCTAAACAATCTTGAGCCCCAAACACAGCGTATAGGGATTCATGCGGGGCTTCAAAAGGCTTTCTGGGGTCTTCAGGCTTCAGAGCTTTCGTGAAGGTTCTGGGGTTTAGGGTTTAGAGTTTGGGGTTTAGAGTGTAGGGTCTAGGGTTTAGGGTTTAGGGTGGTTGGGTTGGACCCCATGTTCGGGTTACTCTGGGAGGGGGGGTGAGGCTTAGGATTACGGACCTGATAGGTTTAGAGGCTGTAATGTAGGGGCCTTGATAATTACCTGTACTAGTTTAGGGGGTTCCTTAATATAACTAGAACATGATATACACCAAAATCCTATTCTAACTATTAAGGCCCCTACGGTGACATTATGGTTTAAAGAGCGGTGGCGATGCACCGATATGGTTGGCAGCTGTTTCCTTCAGCAGGATTGAGAAAGACTCTGCGGCGACAGTGCTATTGCAGTGAGACATAACAACGGATAGTGGCCATACCTAAACCTTAACCTGTGAACCCTGCACCATAAACCGTAAACCCTAAACCCGCCATAGATCTAAGCCTGAAGCACGAAGCAGAGCTTCAGTCGATACAGCAGTAACACTGCGTTGCGTTTCATGACGTTGTCTGGCTCCCCACCGGGGGCACACAGAATGCAATCACAGGGGGGGTCTTGTAAAGGTTTGCAGAGCTGCAAAGGGAGAATAGAAGCTTAGTAGAAGGGGTTTCTTGAATCAGACTCATGTCTTGAAGGCATCAGAAGATTTCGGCAAGCGATTCTGGAAACTGCCCTTGCTATGTATCCAAACTACCCCTAAACCCCAAACCCTAAACCCTAAACCCCAAACCCTAAACCCTAAACCCTCAACCCTAAACCCTTAAACACTAGACCCTAGACCCTAGACCCTATAAACCCTAAAGACTGACCGCCTAAAGCCCCAACCCTGGGCAGTTCATCTCCGAGGAGTGGGCAACATTTCTCGACTGGCATCTCAGCAACACTCCTGCACCGACGCTCGGAGAGGCAGAATGTGCATCGGTTTATAGTGCTTTGGGGTTTGGGTTTAACGTTTGAGGCTTCGCCTGTAGTTCGGAAGTCTGGACTGGATGTCCTAAACCCTAAGCCGCAAACTCTAAACCCTAAACCCTAAACCTGAATCTCCCTCCCATTTGCCCTGGCCCTCCAGCGCAGCGAAACCCAAATTCATGAGGGATCCGTTCAAGGATTAAGTGCAACAAATTCGGTACGTTCATTATTGTTTTCAAGAAGTGGAGTTCAGAGTGCAGAGGTTTAGGCTTGCGGAGCCCCCCGACACCCTTACGCCACCTGAACCGTACGCATTCGATTTTCGTAAACCCAAACCCTGGCCTGAACCCGAAGCCCTAAACCCTAACCCTAAAACCTAAACCCTAAGCTTCATGCCAGGACAGCAGTGAATGAGAGGGACATGATGCACCATCGCCAGGTTGCACAAGATACCACCGCTAATCTTGACAACCTTGCCACCGAAGTGAAAAATATGAAAGTTCGGATCGATGAACTTCAAACTTCTGGCCCTGCCCAGCCACCTGGTGGAGTTGCCGCCCCTGCAGGTGCCAGCGCTGCCGGTCAACCAGTTGACCCTTGGGCTGAATTCCTGAACCGACGACGAGAAGGCGGCAAAGGACCAGCCCCCTCTGGGGTGACTAATGTTGTTGGTGCAGTCCCTGAAGGTGATCGGGGTGACTTTCTCTCTGAGGAGGACAAACGCACTCTTGTAGTCGGAGGTTGGCTACAAGACACGCGACGCATCACCATTGAAGAGGAGGCGGCAATCATCCTTCAGATGCCCGAGGTGAAACAATTGGTTGACGTTGAGAAGCTTGCAATTTATGGGCCGAGACGTTCGGTGGGCATGTTGAAGTTCACAGTCCGAGAGGGTGAGAAAGATGCAGATGTCCGCAACCGTATGTGGCAGTTCATAAAGGCGCTGGCCCAAATAAAGCACGTACTTCCGTCTACTCGATCGGGGGGAGACAGTCGCACCATGTGGGCAAGCTTTGTGAAGAGTAAAAATGCGAGGCTCAGAAGTGGACATGTGAGCATGATTCGGAGGGTGACGATTGCGCTTGCCAAGGATGCTCATGCACGCCACGCAGGAGGGGTGAACAGTGTTGTCAACGACCAAGTTTCCATGTTTGATTGCGACTGGAGCATGGGCACCATCTGGTGCGGGCCTTTGAAACTTGGCAGCGCTGCGCATCGACCTCCCCGTGACGAGGAGACTGTGACCATGGCAGGCGGTTGGGTCAGCCTCAGTGCCGTTGCGAGAACAGCCTGTTGCTCCACAGATGAGGCCAAGAGAGCCTTTGAGTTGGAGCTTTGACACGCAGAAGGAGGACGTTTCACTCCCGACTCTGTCCCAAGCTGGGGTGAAAATCTGCTTCCTAAGGAACGGAAAGCCTCAACTGCTACTCCGCGTGCAATACGCAGGTGGGGACGGGTCGGCCACTGGAATTTAGGAGGACAACGCCCTGAAATGTTGGATGTTGTTGCAAGCGATTTGGATATCATAATGGTTCAGGAGCTTTCACGAAGTGAATCGGGATGGGGTGAGATCAACACGGAGCTGTTCCACTGGACTTGTCACAGGGATGAACGACACTGGCGTGGAGTCGGCATCGGCATTGCCTCAGACAAGCTTGATTGCATTGTGCACAAAGTCAGCACCTCGAGGGGGATCTGGATAGTCGCGCGCTTACAAGATCTTGGTCGTGTCATTATCGGCTCGCTACATGGCCACACGGGAGTCACAAACAACATCTACCAGGCTGCAGTACATGAGTTCTTTGCGGCTTGCCCTCGGAAGTATCGCCATTTGCCTCTCCTTTGCGGCATTGATGCCAACGAAGTCCCACCCTGGGAGCGGGATGACTTACAGGGCCTTTCTTTGGGGTCCGGGAGTCACAACTTCAACTGCATTGCTCATGATGCGCTTCAGCAGGGGGTCCTCCCGGTCGCGCCAGACGTTGGCTTCCAGCATGCCCCCACCCACTTCCCGAGGGACGAACAGCGCAGCGGAAGGCATATTGACATTGTCCTCTCACGCCAGCTTCATATCAAACCGATCATTGTCGATGCGGATCGTCGCTTCGCCATTGGCACCGACCATGCGCTCCTCTTCGGCGAGGTCTTCGTTGCGGGAGGTGCTCGTGGCACACGCTGGAACAACGACTCCAGGGCTCGCTGGGTGACGTCTGAGCTTCCACGGGGTGAACTTGTCGATGAGGAGGACATTATTGCTCTTGCCAAGACTTGTACCCGCCCACGGTCCTCCTGTGCCTTTCGCGACGACGAGGAAACCAAAGCTGCCTTCCGCCAGGCGAGAGACTCGAATCGTGCAGCTGACTGGAAGAGCGCACACAAATTGCGCAAGGCATCTCGTAAGCGTTGGCAACAGGATCGTCTCAGTTCCATTCTGGCCGGGAACTGGGATCAGTATCGTTTGCTACAGAACGAAAAGAAGAGATGCAAAGGCTGGTGGGGCGCGCTTCTGGAGGATCGATCGTCTTCTCAGCTGACGTGTGAAATCCATGATCATCTTGCTCAGAAGATGACAAGCGGCAAGAATGCGGAGTTGTGGAATGACAAACTCGATGAGATCATTCGGTCTGAGGTTGACTTGCACGAGGACGCCGCCTTTGTCCCTTTCACTCTTGAGGAGATCTGTGAGGAACTGCAACAAATGAGGTGTCGCAGCGCAGTTGGGCCCGATGGAATTGGGGTGCATCTCCTTCGCTGCATCGCCGCGCATGAGTCCCTTGGACCCAGTCTTACCTCACTTGTCAATCATATCGTTGTCTCTCATGAACTTCCTCCGAGTTGGGAGCACAGTTTTCTTGCTCTGCTTGCGAAAGTCCCCACACCTCTTCGTGCGGGTGACCTTCGGCCCATTGCCGTGTCCTCCGCCTTCAACAAGCTTGTCAACAGGGTCGTTTGCAGCCGGGTGATGCCACTTATGAGAAGCGGATCGCACATTTCATGCTGCGGCAAAGGACGACAATCAGCTGACCTCGTGGGGTGTCTTTCTCGCCTCCGTGATGTCACACGTGAATGGAAACTCCCCCTGCTACTATGTAAATTAGATGTGGCTGGCGCCTTCGACAGGGTTGACCGAGGCAGAGTTGCGAGCATCTTGGTTGAACGTCTTCAAGGGCAACATGTGACGCAGGAACTTAAGTACATGCTGCAACAGCTACGCACCCACCAGCTACATGGTACCGTGCCGGGAGGAAGTTCCCTCACACTTACGCCAGATGTTGGCATCAAGCAGGGAGCCCCCGAGAGCGCTGAGCTGTTTGGCCTCGTCGTTGACGCCTTATTGAGTGACCTTGTCAGATGTCGTCAATGGGGTGATCTTGGTGAAGTACTGCCCGGCCTCTCCTTGGATCTTCTCTTCTACCAGGACGACGTTTTCTTGGTTGACACTCAGCTTGCCCGCCTTGCGAAGAAGGTTCGTGCTGTCGATAAAAGCCTGGCCAAGGCTGGTCTCCGCCTCGCGACTGAGAAGACCAAAATTGTAGCGAATAAGCACTATTCTGGTGCTCGCCAGGTCAGGGTCGGGGACAGCCTCTTCACGATTGCCCCTTTGGGTGAGTCCATCCGTGTCCTGGGGGTGACCTTCGCCCTCACTGACGACCCCTCCGAACAGGCCAAGGGAATCATTGCACGCACGCGGGACGCAATCCATGCGCATCGTGACATTCTCGTTGCTCAGGGTGCATGGTGCCAGAAGATCACGATCATGAAAACCCTCATTGAATCCCAATTTAATTGGATAGGGGGTGCACTACATTGGAGCTCTGCTGACCTACACAGCCTCAATGTTTTGCAGGCACATGCATGTCGTGCAGCCTTTGGTCTTCGGCGAGCTCCAGATGAAGATTGGCCAACATGGAATGCACGTACAATGCGATTCGTACGTGTGTGGCTCCACAACAATCAAGTGGCCCGCTGGTCTGAACGCATCCTCACGCTTCAGCATATGCTCCACGGACACTGGGCCAGAAGGGTTGAGTGTGTTAGGGGTGAAGTTCAAGTCAGCCCACCACTTCGTGCACTTCAGTGGCGCAGTACGCAGTGGTGGAGGTCGCAGCAAGATCTCACTCGCACTGGCCTCCGTCACCCCGGCCGCTTCTACGCCTCCTGTACAGAAAGGCAACTCTCTGACTCCCATGGACCCCTTTGGTCAGTTCTTGCACAAGACCGTCGACAATGGGCAATCGCGCGAAAAGAATACATTGCCCAATGGGATGTCAGATGGACCTCTGGGCGTCAACTTTCACTTCGTTTCTGAAGGGGTTGTCTCGCTGCGTGTGAAGTCTCCCTTTTGTTTGTGGGACTGAGATGCAGCAGGACTCATCACTCTCAGGGTGTATTTGAAAGTCTCCAAGTTTGGCTCCACCATGTCTCTCTTGCAGCTGCTTGTGACCTACATCTTACATGTTGATGCGCACAGTGCCTGAAAACACACAAGTTCACAGTTTTACATGACCGCACTCGCCGAATGTACTTGTGGATGCCGCCTCTGGGCTCGAGGCTTTTGGACAACTTGACCGACTACGCCTTCTTCCACGCAATGGCCTGGTGGCGGCGCTTCACCCTCCCCTTCCTGCTCTTCTACACGGTGGAGACCGTTGCGAACCCCCATGACGATACATCACGGCCGCCGGAGAATGGGGGAAACCAGTCTGGACAGGGAGACAATGCTCTACGTCGCTGGAACGCACAGGAGATTGCTGATGCACACGCAAGTGCCTGGTCGGACGACACATGGACGACAACTCCTACTTCGGCGGTGGGCGGCTCGGCATGGGACGATACCCCTGATGCTCCGGCTACTGGGGAGATGCTGCCTGCTCCTACTTCCTCGGGGGTGACTTTGCCTGTGTTGGCTTCTTCCTCTGCTTTTTCTTCCCCGTGCTCATCATTGTCTACTATGCCGGGGTCGTCTTCTTTGCCGCCCTCGTCG